GAAAGTTTTCGGGATTCTGGATTAGAGCACGAGGGGGGACGGATCGTTACTTCATTAGACGAGACCTCTCCAACTTAACGTTTAGGTTCAGTGTGCCTCTAAACATTCGGTGATCGCTGCCAGTTTTCACCCTTGCGATCACTGAGACATCACTGAACAGTTGGCGTCTGGTCGTCATAATGAAGTCAATCTCATTTTTTGTCGAACCGTCGGGGCTCGACCAGGTCTACATCCTGTGGGGCCGCTTCTGGAAGAAAGACTTCATCATAAAGAGTCCCTCTTTCTCCATAAAGTCGGCCAGCTGCTGGCCCCTTCGGTTCCGTTGCCCACTCCAAATTTCCCTACCTTCAGCTCACCGCTTTCTCTTGATTAAACGGTTTTATTTAGCTCACCCCGTTTGTTTTATTTATTATTCTTGGGTCAAATTTAGTAATTCAAATTTCACCCTCTTCCTGTCAACCGATTAATCTGAAATTTTGTATACACTTTGGATTTTGGTGACAATACAATTATGTTTATTCATTATCATTATAAATTCAAGATGGCCGCCGCTACAAAATGGCGGATAATTTATGTTTTATTAATCCCATCAACATGGGTATCAAATGAAAGGGCTCAATAAGCAGAATACAATATACTATAAAAAATTGAAATACAAGATGGCGGCCGCTACAAAATAGCGGATAACGTAGGTTTTATCGATCCCATCAATATGGGTATCAAATGAAAGTGTTCAACCAGTATAATGCAATGTACTGTATAAAATTCAAATCCAAGATGGCGGCCTCTACAAAATGGCGGATAACTTAGGTTTTATCAATCCCATCAACATGGGTATCAAATGAAAGGTCTCAACAAGTAGAATACAATTTACTATGCAAAATTGAAATCTAAGATGGCCGCCGCTACCAAATGGCTGATAACAATTTTTTTATCAATCCCACCAATATGGGTATCAAATAAAAGGGCTTGACAAGAAGAATACAGTGCACTATACAACCTCAATATTTAAGATGGGCGCAGCCACCAAATGGCGTATCATAATAAGATTTAAATTTAGAAATTGAATCTGTAATTTAGGTATCTGATTAATCCAGCCTGAATCCACCACCCAAGTCAAGATTTTGTATCGTGTTGAGGACTGTGTGGCGTTAGGGTGGCTAAAAAAGGTTTTATCAATCCCATCAACATGGGTATCAAATGAAAGGTCTCAACAAGTAGAATACAATTTACTATGCAAAATTGAAATCTAAGATGGCCGCCGCTACCAAATGGCTGATAACAATTTTTTATCAATCCCACCAATATGGGTATCAAATAAAAAGGGCTTGACAAGAAGAATACAGTGCACTATACAACCTCAATATTTAAGATGGGCGCAGCCACCAAATGGCGTATAATAATAAGATTTAAATTTAGAAATTTAATCTGTAATTTAGGTATCTGATTAATCCAGCCTGAATCCACCACCCAAGTCAAGATTTTGTATCGTGTTGAGGACTGTGTGGCGTCAGGGTGGCTAAAAATGATACGTCGTTAGCGGTACACCACCCAAGTTAAGGTGAAAGGTTAAAACGCGCCGAGAACTGTATGGCATTAGGGTGGATAAAAATGATATGTCGTTAGCATTTTCCCCTCAAGACTCAGGCGCATCTTGTTGTACATAGCCTTGCCCCTTTATTGGACCTCTGGGGGGGGTCGACCGTTTAAATGTCCATTACTCGTGGTGTTCCCACCCAAATGGTAAAAAAAATATAAAAAATACAAACACAAATAAAACAGAATCTGCAACACAACGTAAACGAAGGCTTCAAAAAGCGAAAGAAAAGTATAAAGCAAAACGAGCTAAAGAAAGTGAAGGTGATAGAAATAGTCGATTACAGAAACGACGGGAACAATTAGCGTCAAAAACACCTGAGCAATATGAGGCCAGGTTAAAAAAGCAACGTCAGCGATATACACAGATGATAGCGTCAGAAACGCCTGAAGAATATGAAGCCAGGTTAACAAAGCAACGTGAGCGATACACACAGATGATAGCGTCAGAAACGCCTGAAGAATATGAAGCCAGGTTAACAAAACAACGGGAGCGATACACACAGATGATAGGGTCAGAAACGCCTGAAGAATATGAAGCCAGGTTAACAAAACAACGGGAGCGATATACACACATGGTAGCGTCAGAAACGCCTGAAGAATATGAAGTTAGATTAATACAAAGCCGTGAAAGACAAAGACAGCAGTTGAGTTCAGAAACGCCTGAACATCGCGATACGAGGTTAAATAAACAACGAGAGCGTACCCAGCAATGCAGAGCTAATAATCTGCAGGCATTCGAGAATGCTATTAACACAATTTGTATACATTTTTGTGATATTTGTACCAAACGTTGTTATCCTAATCAAGTTCGTACAGTTCGGTACAACGCTGCTGCATTAACATACTTTGGTCCGGATTTCCAAGCTAAACGGTGGCCCTATCTGCTAGCCACAGGTAGGGAAATGGCCAAGCGCCCCCGTCAGAGGGTCGCAGGCGAGGGATGTGGGGGCTGCCTAGTTTTCCTGAAAAGGGGGGCTGGGTGGTGGTAAAGGCCATGCTGACGGAGCAAGTGACAGTTTATTTGGGTGGTGGGGATGGGCCTTGTCAGCCCCATCTACCAGCTGGATCGAGCTCCCGATGTCGCGCTGTGAGCCAACTTCGCGTCCCTATATTCTCCCGGTAATCCTAACGCCTGAAATAGGGCGTTCCCAAAGGTGCGGGCTCCATGGAGGGTGGGAAGCCGGGGGGATGAATTTTAAAGAACAAATACTATGGACAATTTAAGGCCCAAAAAGAAAGAGGGAGAGGTGTCAGAGGTGCTTACCAGAGACACAAATGAACAAGGGGGGAACCGTCACTAAACCGGCGGTTCCACGGACAGTACCGTCCAGCGCAGGTGCCCCCATCAAAGGGACAACTACCTCGCTGAACGTTTCCAAAACCAGTTCCAAGGAGCTGGGGGGGGAAAAAGAACAGGAGCCCGCGAGTGACAAAACTGCGGAGCCAATACGAACTGACGACCTTTTCTCTGCTGCCTGGCAAGTGGTGAGCCGTAAGGGGAAAGGCAAGGCACCCAAAAAGGTGACTTGCCGACCTGACGGACCATCAGGAGGGTCTATCCCTGCAGGCAGTAGTGGAAAGGCCAAAAAGAAGAACAAGAAGCAGCGGGAAAAGGCCGAAGGGAACGAGCCGCACTGGCTGCTTCTGAAACTAAAACCAAGGAGGCTGGGCAAGCTACTGCGACTGGGGTGCTTGGAGCTGGAACCAGTAGCCGCACTGAAGCTGGGAAGGATAAAAATCCAGACCAAGTGGAAGTCGCGGCCGCAGGAACCAGTTCTAGGATATCCGCCAGGAAGCAGCGAGCGGCCAAGCGTCCTGGGAAGAAAGAAAGAGCAGCCAAAAGGATGCTGGAAGAGTCCACCTCGCCTAGAGGGGAGCACAAAAAAGTGCGACTCGGACAGCAACCAAAGGCTGCAAAAACGAGCTACGCTTCCGCTGCTAGAGCAGATTTGGGTGTGGCCTTAACGTGTGAGCGTTCAGGTCACATTACGAAGGAAGTAGCAGTCATCAGACATCCTCGTAGCAATACAGAGGAAGATAATCAGCGAGGCGTGGAGTAGTCAGGACCCTGATGCGTCGGGCCCAGTTTTTAGGGGCAAACCCGTATATACGGAGGGTGTCCTGAAACTGTGGTGCGACGATTAGAAGGCTCTGGACTGGTTGAAGGGGAATATTGCTACCCTCGATCTTAAATCCAACACCTTGCTGACTATAAAAAAACAAGAGATACCACAAAGAGTCAAATGTGGTATCCTAATCCCTGATGCCCAAGGAGCCTGGAAAGACTCACGTGACATTGGTCGCGTGCTGGCGTACCAGAACCGCTGGGTTAACATCAGGGACTGGCTGTTACTCAAGGCTGATAAGCAGACGGACGGGTGGTTCCTCGTTGTTTCGGTGCCGGAGGATCACATCCCGACCCTGATGAAGGCCGGACGCCGTCTCGCATGCGTATGCGGGGCGGTATACGTAAAATTCCAGGGTCGTGGAGGTAAATTCTTTGATACTCCACCGAGCAAAGAGGTAGAAAACAGCCCGGAAGTTATGGATACCGGAGCCACGGTTACCGGTACAGTGGAATCACTGGAGGCCAAGTCCAGTGAAGAAACGGCCTGCACAACTGAGCCAAAGCCCCCAGTGGAGACCGGGCTCAGCGGCAGCTCACTGAGTGACGAAGAGGACTGCATTTTGCCGACCACTTCCGACTCGGTGGCTGACGAAGAGACCCGAGATCTTCTGGCAGGCCTATTTTTGGGCGGGGACGGGGAGGACGCGATCAATGATGGCGTGCCCTTCGTCCAAAACTAGCCTAGTGCAAGCCAACCTCCACCACAGCGAAACTGCGTCGGCTCAATTACGCAGGTGGTTAGAGGTTCAAAAGACTGCCATAGCCTTAATCCAGGAGCCGTGGGTTGGGGCTGGTAAAATTAAAGGCCTAAACAACCTAAAAGGTAAGCTATTCTACAGCTCTGAACACGACAAGCCTAGAGCGTGTATCTACACACTACTAAAGATATCTGTGCACAACCATTAACAGATTTCTGTTCTAGAGACATGTATGCCGTGGCAATACAATACACACAGGAGAGAAGGTTAGTCGTCGCCTCGGTCTACATGCCGGAGGAAGACACTCCTCCCCCTCATGACCTCGGCAGGCTGGTGAACTTCTGCGAGAGGACCGGACTAGAGGTTGTGATCGGGACGGACTCCAACGCACATCATCCCCTTTGGGGAATGGAAAAACCTAATGAACGAGGTAAGGTTTTAGTTGAATTTTTATTTAGTACTAACCTAACCATTTTAAACATAGGTTCTGAACCTACTTTCATAAACAAACGCTGTCGCACTATAATCGACCTCACACTTGCAACAGAAGGAGCAGCCAAACTAATTACGGAATGGCATGTGTCGAAAGAGGCCTCATGCTCAGACCATAGATGGATCTGCTTCGCACTACAGGTCGATATCCCCTCTACACCACCATGGAGAAATCCCCGCAAGACGGATAAAACAAAATACCTAAATAAGTTGACGTCTTCGCTCGCGGGTTCTGAGGGGATAAATACTATAGCAGATCAGTCGCTCCTAGAAGAACAGGTAGCAGCTGTTACTAAGGCCATGATAGATAGCTACCATGAATCATGTCCAGAAATCACTCCACCAAGGCATGCCGAGGTAAAGCAACAGTGGTGGGGTGTAGAACTCGATAGGAAACGCAAGAAGGTAAGAAAAGCCCTAAACAGGGCCATGAATACCTCAATGGATGAAGACTGGCTACTATATAAGAAAGCTAAGTCTGAATACAAAAAATGTATCAGGTATCGACGCTCGACTGGGTGGCGTAAATTCTGTGGCAACATAGAAACCTGCAAACAAGCAAATAGGATAAGGAATATTCTAGCTAAACAGAACACGTCGGGATCCATGTCTCTAAAGAAACCCGACGGTAGCTACTCAACATCGCCGGATGAAGCCCAACGCATCCTAATTAAAACGCACTTCCCAGGTTGCTGCTTAACCCAGGAGGCAAACCGGCATGACGACATACTGACACCAACAGTAGAAGACTGGAATTTAGCACAGAGAGTGGTAACGATGGACAAAATCCATTGGGCCATTCACAGTTTCCTCCCCTATAAGGCGGCAGGACCTGACGGCATATTCCCGGCACTTCTACAGTGGGGGGGTAAAGCCCTAATAGTCAGACTTGTTGCCATAATGAGAGCCTGTCTGGCTCTAAAATATGTTCCTAGGGGATGGAGGGAAGTGAAAATCACATTTATACCCAAACCAGGTAAGAGCGATTACACTGACCCTAAATCCTACAGGCCCATTAGCCTCACATCCTTTCTCCTAAAGACGATGGAGAGGATGTGTGAAAGGGAATTAAGGGGGTCGGCGCTAATGAACTTACCACTACACGACAAGCAACACGCCTACAGTCTAGGCAAATCAACAGAATCGGCACTTCATCAGGTAATTACTAAGATTGAAGGGGCCATCCAAAACAAAGAAATATGTCTAGGTTCCTTCATAGATATAGAAGGTGCTTTTGACAGAACAAACTTCTCCAGCATAAAAGGTGCACTCAGTAGACATAAAGTTGAACCGGCACTGATCGCCTGGATAGTTTGCATGCTCAGTACACGAATAATAAAGATTGCTGGTGAATCTCAACCAATCCTAATTAAGAAAGGTTGCCCGCAGGGTGGGGTCCTCTCACCTCTCCTGTGGAATATGGTCATTAATGAACTCATCAGCAAATTAAATACTAATCACTTTTATACAGTAGGTTATGCTGATGACCTGACTATACTGGTCTCGGGAAAGACAGCTAGCATAGTGTGCGACCTGACCCAAGCGGCTCTCCGTATAGTGGAGAGATGGTGCAGGGAATACGACTTAACCGTCAACCCAAATAAAATGGTTTTAGTAATGTTCACACAAAAACGGATGCTGAATAACTATCATCTTCCAAGTCTTTTCAGCACAAAACTCCAGCTATCCTCTGAGGTAAAATATTTAGGTCTTACCTTGGACAGCAAACTTAACTGGAATAAAAACATAGAAAACAAAATCAACAAAGCTAGTATAACTTTCTGGCAATGCAGAAACATGATTGGCAAAAGATGGGGACTGACGCCAAAAATCATACTGTGGCTTTACAAAACTGTAATCCGGCCCATGATCACATACGGCGCTCTGGTATGGTGGACCAAGACCAATGAAGCCACCACAATTAAGAAGCTTCAGCGCTACCAGAGACTGGCATGTATGGCTGCCACAGGCTGCATAAGAACTACGCCAACAGCAGCCTTGGAAGCGATGCTGGAGCTAACTCCGCTTCATCTACATATACAACAAGAAGCGACTTTAGCTGCCATCAGACTCAAGACCCTAAATCTTTGGAGTAAGAATAGTGTCCCTCATACAGGCATAATTGATAGAATTTACTCAGAAATTCCTATCCTACAAGCCAAATACGATAGGATTCCTAAACAATTTGTTTTCGATAAGAAATACAAGATACAATTAAATGAAAACAGCCAGCCGGAAGGATTAAGCCCAAAAGAGCTTAGAATTTTCACCGATGGTTCTAAAACAAAGGAAGGTGTAGGTTCTGGAGCTTTCTCTGAAGACCTCAATATTCACATATGCACACCGCTGGGTACCTATAACACGGTCTTTCAGGCGGAATGTATGGGTATCATTCAAGCGGCCATAGCAATAGATGCTAGGAAGGTTAATGACTTCCCCATCAGAATACTGACCGACAGTAGGGCGGTACTACAAGCTCTGAGTTGCAATGGGGTGAACTCGGGACTAATATATGAATGCCATCAACGATTAAATGAGGTATGTAAAAACAACAATGTGACTCTACAATGGATAAAGGGACACAGTGGATCCAGAGGCAACGATGCAGCGGACGAACTGGCCAGAAGAGGATCGGCTCTGGCCACTATAGGGCCGGAACCAATCATACCAATCCCCTTTGGTAACGTTCGTTCAATGGTACGTAGACACTTCACTAATCAACACGCTCAGCTTTGGAAAAATCTAATAGACTGTAGACAAGCTAGGGAGGCCCTACCTGTAATAAACAGTCGCTTAACCAAAGTTCTAATGAGACTGAACAAGCCGCAGATCAGGATAGTAACTAGTGCTATCACAGGACATGGAACCTTTAACAAACATTTATTTACTATAGGTGTTACAGATAGTGCCCTGTGCAGGGCATGTATGGGGGAGGAAGAAACGGCGGCCCACGTGCTACTGAAATGTCCGGAGGTCGCTACGTACAGGGCTAAACATCTCGGCACGCCGGGATCACTCCCCTTCAGAACTATATGAATTAGTTAAAAATTATCAAATACATCGACACACTAGTACCTGCACGAAAAATAATTCTGTTTGTCGTTTCAACTTTCCACGCTCGGAATGCTTAGAGACACATGTTATTGATCCTTCATCTAACGAATTCATCTACAACGGTGGTCGCATTTGCGTTCTGAAAAGAAAAAGTGAAGATGGTTGGGTAAATAATTACAGTCCTGCTTTGCTAAAAATGTGGAAAGCCAATATGGATATACAACCGTGTGGTACAAATGAGTTGATTGCGTATTACATCGCTAAATACGTGTCAAAATCAGAACCTACAAACCTAGATGGTGAAATATCTCGAGCTATTCAACAAATTAGAAGAGAAGAAACTGACGTCTCGCGTAAGTTGTTTAAAATATGCATGCGCATATTAAGAGAACGTCAAGTTTCAGCCTGCGAATGCGTATTCAGGCTATGCCATTTGAGTATGCGTGACAGCTCGAGAAAAACAATTTTTGTCAATACTCGTAAAGCGGAACAAAGGTATAAAGTGTTGAAGTTTAATGAAGCTGGTCAAGCAGCAGGATATTGTGCCAATATTTTCGAACGATATGAAAAGCGACCAGCAGAGCATCCCATCTATGATTTTTACAATATGTGTCTCATAGAATTTGCGATGTTATTTGAGCCACACTACACAAAACCGCCAGTTATAAATAAAGAGAGCATCGATACCGATGCTTATGCACCGCACGAGCAAACAACAAGAAGGCGTCTTATAACTTTAACAGACAACACCAAAATGACTATTAGAAACACGCCAGCTGTAGTACGGGCACCTAACTTCGTAGCAGCTTCTGATCCAGAGTCATATTATTACAGTTTACTAATCCAGTATATGCCGTATCGCAATGAGGCCGAACTTTTAGGAGAGTTTAATAGTGCCAGAGATGCGTTTCTCGCCAACGAAGAAAGTTTAAGACAAACAAACGCCTACTTGGAAATATATCGTGAACGTGACAGGCAGCTTGAAAATGCATTCGCGCAAGTACACGCATTTCAGATATTGGAACACGCAGAGCCGATGGAACTAGACCATGAAGAAGAAGTTCCTTATTTGCCAATGAATGAAGACCAGTTCTTACAGGCTAAGCAGTCTATGAATGCAGGACAAAAGGAAATTTTTAGATTAGTTACCCAGTCCATACAAAATCAAATGTCAGGTGCTAAAGAGCGTTTAAAAATATTCTTTACAGGAGGAGCTGGTGTGGGCAAGACTTTTCTATTAAAGTTATTACGAGACCAAATTAATAGGTGCTACGCAAAGGATGCGGTTAAAGTCTGCTCACTAACAGGAGTTGCAGCTAGATTAATAAATGGAGCTACGATACACAGTACTTTAAAATTGCCTGTACAGAAAGACGGTCGCATAACAGGTATGTCACCACTGTCCGGAAACTATTTGCGAATAATGAGGCAACAATGGCATCAGACAGAATTTTTGATTGTCGACGAGATTTCCATGGTGTCTTATCAAATGTTATGCATGATGGACGCTCGATTAAGGCAAATTAAGAACTGTGAAAATGAGTTTTTTGGAGGAGTAAACGTATTACTTTTCGGTGATCTTTTACAACTGTCTCCTATAAAACGATCAGGAACACCTGTTTTCAAACAGCCAGAACATCTCCAACCAGCTACACATCTCTGGCGTTTATTCACGCTGTGTGAATTAACTGAAAATATGCGTCAGCAAGGTGACCAGACTTTTATTGATATTTTGAATGCTTTGAGAGTCGGTGAGCTAACAACCAACATTTTAGTATTTTAATGGGAAGACTTCTTCAAGACACGAGTGATGAGTTTGCAATAGACAAAGCGTTAAGGGTATACCCCACAAATCAACAAGTTAACGACCACAACTCTGCAGTATTGAATTTGTACAGAAATAATGGTGCTCGCATTTACAAAATAAAAGCGCAGGATCAGCTAGTACACGCCACACGAAATGCAGACAATGTGGATATAGCTACTATAATACCAGCTGATATCAACAAAACTGGGGGGTTTACCAGTGGAACTGCAAATATTTGTGGGGGCAAAAATCATGCTACGGTCCAATATTGACGTTTCAAAGGGATTAGTAAATGGCGCTATAGGCTACATCAACGAAATCGTTTGGCCTCAATTTCGTCGAACTCAGATGTATGCAACAGATGTACCTTCCGTCCGAATTGATTTCGCAAGAGACGGAGTACATCTTAATCACCCGAAAGCCATACAGTTTCCAGCTAAGTACAATTACGGGACGGCTGAAAGAAGAATGTTGTCTTTAATACTATCATGGGCTTCTACAATACATAAAATGTAGGGCAGCACTGTGGATCACGCAGTCGTATACTTAGGTGCGAAACTGTTTGAAGAAAGTCAAGCCTACGTGGCTCTTAGTAGAGTAAGATCTTTGCAGGGACTACGTATAGAGGAGTTGGACTGCAATAAACTAACGGGCAAGAAACCTTGCAATAATGAAGCACTAAATGAATTAAACAGAATGCGAAATAAAAACTAAAAACTAGAAAATAAAAATAGGTAAAAAAACTTTTTAAGTTAAACGGTTTTATGTTAAACATACATTGCAATGTTTAAGATAAATGTACTAAAAACCAAAAAATAATAAAATAGATAAAGTCGTGGGAATTATAAACATATGCATAGACTAGACTAAAATAAAACCGTGGGGCACGTCAATTGTCTACAATCGTTGATTAAAATGTTTGTTTTGTAATGTTACACTATAATTAGGCAGTTGTTCAACCGACAACGATGGACGTGTGATAAGTAGGGCTAGAATGTGGAAACAAGCTAGCAAGCTCGATTATAAGCGAGTTTTTAGGGTTACATAGTGGTGAGCGAGTAGTACTTTTATCATAAGTTTTGTCGATTAAAGACAAACTACGAGCAGTGAAACGATTCCTCGCCAGCCAGCAGTGTGAATGTCCAACGATAAACTAGTTGAAACATCTCTTTTATTTACATGGAGTGTATAACTATTAGAATTTCCATGAGTAAGAAAATAGTAAGTAATTTCCTCACCGTCTGCGGGCCAACTGCCTATTTTAACGACGAATTAAACAATTCTTCTATCGCACATTAAGTCGATAATTTGTAGACAATTGACGTGCCCCACGGTTTTATTTTAGTCTAGTCTATGCATATGTTTATAATTCCCACGACTGTATCTATTTTATTATTTTTTGGTTTTTAGTACATTTATCTTAAACATTGCAATGTATGTTTAACATAAAACCGTTTAACTTAAAAAGTTTTTTTACCTATTTTTATTTTTTATTCACATCATGAATATTGATAATGATCACCAAAAGAAAAATAGCACAAGTTAGGTGACAGGTGAAAAAAGGCATGGTACAAAAAAATAAAAATACGTGTGTGTGTGTGTGTGTGCGTGCGTGGCGTGCGTGGCGTGCGTGGCGTGCGTGGCGTGCGTGGCGTGCGTGGCGTGCGTGGCGTGCGTGGCGTGCGTGGCGTGCGTGGCGTGCGTGGCGTGCGTGGCGTGCGTGGCGTGCGTGTCGTGCGTGTCGTGCGTGTCGTGCGTGGCGTGCGTGTCGTGCGTGGCGTGCGTGGCGTGCGTGTCGTGCGTGGCGTGCGTGGCATGCGTGGCGTGCGTGCCGTGCGTGGCGTGCGTGGCGTGCATGGCGTGCGTGGCGTGCGTGGCGTACGTGGCGTGCGTGGCGTGCGTAGCGTGCGCGGCGTGCGTGGCTTGCGTGGCGTGCGTAGCGTGCGCGGCGTGCGTGGCGTGCGTGGCGTGCGTGGAGTGCGTGGCGTGCGTGGCGTGCGTGGCGTGCATTGCGTGCGTGGCGTGCGTGGCGTGCGTGGCGTGCATTGCGTGCGTGGCGTGCGTGGCGTTCGTGGCGTGCGTGGCGTGCGTGACGTGCGTGGCGTGCATTGCGTGCGTGGCGTGCGTGGTGTGCGTGGCGTGCATTGCGTGCGTGGCGTGCGTGGCGTGCGTGGCGTGCGTGGCGTGCGTGGCGTCGGTGGCGTGCGTGGCGTGTTTGGCGTGCGTTGCGTGCGCGGCGTGCGTGGCATGCGCGGCGTGCGTGGCGTGCGCGGCGTGCGCGGCGTGCGTGGCGTGCGTGGCGTGCGTGGCCTGCGTGGCGTGCGTGGCGTGCGTGTCGTGCGTGGCGTGCGTGGTGTGCGTGGCTTGCGTGGCATGCGCGGCGTGCGTGGCGTGCGCGGCGTGCGCGGCGTGCGTGGCGTGCGTGGCGTGCGTGGCCTGCGTGGCGTGCGTGGCGTGCGTGGCGTGCGTGGTGTGCGTGGCTTGCGTGGCGTGCGCGTCTTGCGTGGCGTGCATGGCATGCGTGGCGTGCGTGGCGTGTGTGTCGTTCGTGGCGTGCGTGGCGTGCGTGGCGTGCGTGGCGTGCGTGGCGTGCGTGGCGTGCGTGGCGTGGGTGGCGTGCGTGGCGTGCGTGGCGTGCGTTGCGTGCGTGGCGTGCGTGGCGTGCGTGGCGTGCGCGGCGTGCGTGGCGTGCGAGGCGTGCGTGGCGTGCGTGGCGTGCGTGTCGTGCGTGTCGTGCGTGGCGTGCAGATAAATAAGCAAGTATATAAGCAAGTTAATAAGCAAGTATATAAGCAAGTACATAAGCAAGTAAATAAGCAAGTACATAAGCAAGTATATAAGCCGGTATATAAGCAAGCGAATAAGCAAGTATATAAGTAAGTATATAAGAAAGTAAATAAGCAAGTAAAAAAGCAAGTAATTAAGCAGTATATAAGCAAGTATATAGGCAAGTGCGTATGCTTATATAATTGCTTATCTTCTTACTTATATACTTGGTTATTCTATACTTGCTTATATACTTGCTCATATACTTACTTATATACTTGCTTATTTAGTTGCTTATATCTGCTTATTTACTTGCTTACAAAGTTACTCATATATAATACTTGCTTATTACTTGCTTATATACTTGCTTATTTACTTGCTTATCGACTTTCTTATATACTTGCTTATTAACTTGCTTATATACTTGCTTATATACTTGCTTACGTACTTGTTTATAAACTTGCTTATATACTTGCTTATTTACTTGCTTATGTACATCCTTATATACATGCTTATATATTTGCTTATTTACTTGCTTATTTTCTTGCTTATACACTTGCTTTTTTACTTTCTTATTTACTTTCTTATATACTTGCTTATATACTTTCTTGTTTACTTATTTATATATTTGCTTATTTAGTTGCTTATATCTGCTTATTTACTTGCTTACAAAGTAGCTCATATAAAATACTTGCTTATTTACTTGCTTATTACTTGCTTATTTACTTGCTTATTTGTTTGCTTATATACTTGCTTATATACTTGCTTACGTACTTGCTCTATATACTTGCTTATATACTTTTTATTTACTTTCTTATGTACTTGCTTATATACTTGCTTATATACTTGCTTATTTACTTCCTTATATACTTGCTTATTTATTTGTTTATTTACTTGCTTATATACTTGCTAATATACTTGCTTATTTACTTGCTTATAAAGTTGCTTATATACTTGCTTATATACTTGCTTATTCACTTGCTTATTTACTTGCTTATGTACTTACTTATATACTTGCTTATTTACTTGCTTAAGTACTTGCTTATTTACTTGCTTATATACTTGCTTATATACTTGCTTATATACTTGCTTATATACTTGCTTATTTACTTGCTTATTTACTTGCTTATCTACTTACTTATATACTTGCTTATTCACTTGCTTATTTACTTGCTTATATACTTGTTTATATGCAACTTCGAGCATACAGCCAGTTCAGTATATTGCCAGTTCGTTTGTTAGTCCGTCTGTTAATTAATTTATGAACCTGTTTGTAGATTCGTTTGGTAATTTGTCACACAAATTGACTTTGAAATTGACTAATTTAATGAAAATGTTGTATAAACATGTCAAACAAAGGGTCTTGTCGATTAAAAGTTCAAAGGAATCGTCATCACATATCTAATCGCAACGAAAGCATAATTACTGATTCCACGCGAAGGTGGTCGCGAGCACAGCCAGTGAAATAAATTTAGAATATAATAAAATGACACTAAAAAGTTTTTAGAAGTATTAGTAAAGATATGAGGGAGGCTTTTGTTCAGTAGTGGACCTGTGCTGTAATGATGTAAATTTAATAAGGTATTGTAAATGATTACATGGTGCCGTCCACTATCTTCAGATTTCCTTTCCTTTATCTTAACATTATGTTTATTATTATGTAGTGCTTTTTTTTTAATTCAAATGATCCTGAATTATAAACCTTATTTATTTCATAGCTTCATTTTTTTTTTCAAGTTTTCAAACTTATCAGCTTCGTTATACATTAGGCAGAGGAGTTAAATATTACATATTCTAAAATAAAACCATCTTTCTTTTACATGTTCATAGTTATAATAGTGGATGAATAAATCGAAGTAATTTAAGAAATATGCACTTACCAAAAACCAACAAAAATATTAAAGAAGTATCGGATTTCATTTTGAGCTGAACGCGGAGACGCCAACACTAGTACTGACCTAAGACCGAACTTCATAATTCAATCAAATTTATCTTTGTAAGATTTATTGTCATTGATTTCTCACCTGTGCCAACTTGACAATATTTACTTGAATAATATTCTTTATGAATCAGGGAAAAAGGTTCTCCTTCGCATCACCACATTTTAGTTTGTATAAACGATCGAAGGTAAACTGAAACGCTTCATCGACTATCAAATGGCAACAACAGAATTATTAAAGGTACGTTATGTTTCCTCGAGAACTCATATT